TCCCAGAGCTTTGGGAATAAGATCAGAAAACCCAGAAAAGAAGAGAAAAGGGCCAATCCTTTTTCTTTCAAAATGCTTATATAGCCTATTACCTCTCATTTGCACAGTTTTTTCGAGCTGATATTGGCCTTCCTCGTTCCGATACGGAGCAGCAGATTCGCCACGGAGAATAGGTGTCGCGCAAAAGAAAATCAAAAAGAAAGAAAAAAAAAAAAGAGCATCTTCAATTGGTGAGTTTCAATTCTGCTGGCAGATCACCTGCCAATTTGATTAGCTTCAGCTGCTTTCATTATCCTAAGCCTCTTCACGGATTGGGTAAACATTCTGGACATATGATCAAAAGAATCAAAGTTATATATTGAATGTTTCTAGCTATTCTTCCCCTCTGAAAACGATGCAAGAAGTGTATATATTGAACATTTCTAGCTCGAAGATCGCGTGAGTTTACGCGTATGTTAAGAATTAGGTTAAAAGTTTACAAACTCGAACTTAAAGGCCTTATCAGAGTAAATGAAGTGGTGAAAAGAGAGCATACCCCCAAGGAACATCGCCAACAAGCATCCAATCTCCTTCCCTGTCTTCGTAAGTAAGCATGTACCCAGATAGTCCATTTAGTAGTCTGGAGGGTCTCGCTATGTCATGTTCCTTTATACTCGATCCTGGATCAGACGATAAAGCATCGTTATTGGTTGCCAGTCAGAAAACTTGGTTCAAGAACCAACACAAATTTCATGATAAAATGTCAATAAATGGATAAGGTGTTCCTTCATAAAAGAGTTAACATTGTTGCTTCACTATGGCTAATAAGAAGCTTCTATTCATACTCAATAAAGAACCCAAAAATACTAGCATTTACTTCAGGAAGAGAGCCTTTCTTCCAGAGATTCTCGATATTACCACTTTCATCTTTACATTAACCTTCTTTGTGCAGCTTTAAAGTACCCCTACAGATCTTCAAGTAAAATATTGTCCATGTAAGGGCCCAAGCCCACCGCTAGCAGATATTGTCTTCCTTGGGCTTTTCCCTTTCGAGCTTGCCCTCAAGGTTTTTAAAATGCGTCTCCTAGAGAGAGGTTTCCACACTCTAATAAAGAATGTTTCGTTCTCCTCCCCAACCGATGTGGGATCTCATAATCTACCCCTCATCGAGGCCTAGCATCCTCGCTGGCACTCGTTTCCTTTCTCCAATCAATGTGGAATCCCCACCAAACCACCCCCCTTCGGGGCCCAACGTCTTTGCTGGCATATCGCCTCATGTTCACCCCCTTTGGGGCTCAGCCCCCTCGCCAGCACATCTCCCAGTGTTTGGCTCTGATACCATTTGTAGCAGTCCAAGTCCACCATTAGCAAATATTGTCCTCTTTGGTCTTTTCCTTTCGAGCTTGCCCTCAAGGTTTTTAAAACGCGTCTGCTAGGAAGAGGTTTTCACACACTTATAAAGAGTGTTTCCTTCTTCTCTCCAACCGATGTGGGATCTCATTGTCCATCACATCACTTAGCAAAATATAGCATTAACACTATTAAATTGAACTCTAGGGGACCTTCAGTTCTTATTGAGTTGAAAATATTCAATTTTAGAGATTGAAACCACAAAATTCACTTCTATACACGAGATTGCAGAGGTCGGAAAGGAATTACCAGTGGAGTCAACTAGTGCGGTGGGATCAAGGAACATGTTCTCGATGGTTTGAGCCAAGGCTTCATAGCTACTGTGAGCACTGAGGTTAACCTTTCTTCCAATGAGAACTCCATCCATATTCACCTTCACGTACACAGAATTTCTGGAATTCCTACTCTCTTCATTTGCTTTGTTTCTATCACTAACACCATTAAGTGTCCCTGCCGCCGTATGCTTGTTTTTATTCTTGCCAGCAACTGCCTTGAATTCTTCTACAGAATGAGGTTTTGCCTGGTTAACCAAGGTACTGATCCTAGAAGCTCTGATTGGGGGCCACCCCACGACCTGGCTACTTCTGAAAGTATATCAAAATATTACAACATAACCCACCACGAAGAACCCTATTCTCAATACAGTTATAGTAACATTATTAAAGCTTCTCTTTTTAAAAAAATTATATATACACATACATACATACATACATATATATATTCAACATACGGGCGACCAATGTGATATTCAAGCAACTTGTCAAAGCATACTCAAAGAATGTTTCACATACTGCAACTATTACTACTTCGATGATACAATTATGCGAAGTGCATAAAAATCCATAGGTATGGAATTCTGAAGTAAAGAGATTGGGATTTGTTTTGTAGATGTTTCCAAAGATTTCTGTTTCTATATACAAAACTGTTTTAAGAACTCATGTGAAAGTAAAGATAGCTGTGTGCTTAAAATCACATTCATAACCTAAAAAAAAACTTCTATTATCCTAAAAGGAAAATGATCATAAAGATAATCTATTTTTAGGAGTTGGTTGGTAGTATAGAGTTCGTTGGCAGTATATATATATTTTTTAGGAGTTAGTTGATAGCTTGTATCATATTTTGAAGATTGTAATTTCAATCTCACGTCAGTTTCTCATTCTTAACATCTTTACACAACTTTCTTGTTTCACTAGGTGTGAGTGCCACAGAATTCATAAGAGCATCGAAGCATGGAAATCTGGTCTCACTTTCTTCTCATTGCATCGTCTTTTATCAGTTCAATCTAATCCTAGATTACCGATGTCCGGTAAACGAACATAATGGGGAGATTTCAAATCTTCTTGTCCAGGCCATGGATGCCAATTCTTAGGTTATTTGGAAGCAAATATACACCTCATAGGGCGTTATATTGAATGTTAACTTGAAGTTTTATTAAACAAATTGCCATGACTTGGAAAGCTCTAGAAAAAGATTTCAGAGGGTATCTCGTCCTTTGAAGGCTACCAAAGGCCAGTTTTCAATTTTTATCAGAGCCGTATCATATTTAATTAGATGGAGTACGGCAGAGCACAAATCCGAAAGAATTCAAAATGATCCCTATCTATATTCAGCTTACTGTTTGCTTTTGGGGTGAGGAAAAGGAGCCAGAGGAACCGTAAAAGTAAACAACAGCAAACATATCTGTCAGTATCAGATTCATCAAGATAAATATCAAGAAATTCGAATCAATTTGGTACTGAAACGCAAAACCAGAGAAGCACATGCAACTTCACAGCTAATAATTGTGTTGATAGAGAAATCTAAAATCGGTAGGGATCAATCAAGGAAATTAAACTCTCATGCTTCACACAAAATTGGAAACCAGAGAAAAAGTGGAGTGAATTATGCATTAAATTCCTCGCATAGGCAAGAATTAGTAATCAGTACCTCCCGCCATTGATAGTCGCTGCGGAATCAGAATTTCTCTTCGAACCATTAGTGACATTGACTCCACTAAGCGAAGACGAGGAACAGATCGACGAAGAAAAATCCTCTGCCGTTAAAATTCTCCCAAATTGAGCGATGGAAACCTTCTGAATCTTGCGTGAATCGCGAACACCGAGGCTGAGCCCTAGCCCTAATTCAATCTCCGACTCGTCTGGGCACGAGGAGCCCTCAGACGACAACATCACGTTCTCATCTTTACAAATAGTCGACATAGATTCTTCAGAAACTACACCGCTTCCACCTCCGCTAGAAGCCATCAAATTCAACGAAGAAAAAGAAGGGGATTCAAGGAGAGCAAAAGAAGTGGATTGATTAGAAACGAAGTCTTCGATTGGAAATAAATGAATGAATCAACGACAAAATCAACGTCAACAACAACAACTAACAATAACGAGCATAGAAAAAGCAATGCCGTGAGGATGGTGAAGGCGCCTTTGTTTGGCGGAAAATAGGAGAGAGAGAGAGGAAGAGAGCAGGTTTAATGGTGGTGGCGTAGTGAAGAAGGGAGGATTGACATTGAAGCAACGGCATTGATCGAATTTATGAGGAATTGGACCCACCTGTCTGGTTTATGCGCCTCCATCTCCATCATTGTCTTCTCCCCCCCTGCTCCTAATCGCCTTCTCTCGCCTGCTTAACTCTCTTCTCTTCTCTTGATATTTTCAATTTCTCAGCTCTCCTCTTCGGCTATTTATATGTTCCTAAAATGGGCTTCAAGCGAGCCCGTATTATATATATATACATACATATATATTAAATTATAAATTTAGTATGATTTTTTTTTTTGGTTTTTATGAATTTTTAACCTTTGAAATTATAAATTAGTCCCTAATTTTGGCACGTTTTTAAATTTATGGGTAAAATTTATAAGGTTACAACCCTAACACGATTTAGTTTGGATTGAGAGGTGAGTTGAGTTGTGAACTATGTTCGGGTTGTTTGAATCACCAACCTAACCAACCTATAATTTCGGGTTGATCTAATAGATTTTTCTAACTTAAGTTATATACATCTCTAATGAATGATTTTTCCAAACTCTAGCCTATTATTTTGTCTTGAGATAAAAGAAATAACATTAAAAAAAATAGACAATATATAAAAATTTATAATTTTTAATAAATGAAACATTTTTTATATTCTTTTTTTATTATTATTATTTAAATAAATACTTGTTAAAGCGGGACAAGGCTAATATGGAAATGGTAAGCTGTCGATATTGTACGAGAAAAGACACGAAACGATACGATAAGATAACGATAGAAAGAGAAGCAATGGGGCCCGCACTCATATGTTTCTAAAAGGTCTCCCGACAAGGTAGGGCCCGCGTCCCATCACATTGCTGGACACGTTGGAAATAGAACCGTGTGGGACCCACGTTTCTAATACACGAAATCCCTTGGCGGGCCCCACCGGACATCGGATTTTTGCTCCGACGATCGAGTAGTTGGAGACTCGACTTCATCCGATTACTGACTTTGACTTTGACCGTTGACTGATATTGTCCTCTTTGCACTTTTCTTCTCGAATTTCCTCTCAAACTTTTAAAACGCATTTGTTAGGGAGAAGTTTTTACCCCTACAAATATTGCTTTGTTCGACTCTCCGACCGACCTGAGGTAAATAATCAAATTACCATGGGAGAGAGGTAAATAATCAGCCTCCATGTCTACCTACTGTTCTCTGTGTATTCGAGATGTCACGTGCAAGCTTAATGAATTATGAATCTGGCGAGTGAAAGTCACGTGCAGTTAACAGACTCCCAAAGCTTTATATACAGACCACATTTGACACTTTCTCCCTCTCCCTCCTCCCTTCAGTCTCTAGTTCGTCTTCCGCCATTAAAGGTCTTTGGAAGCTCAAAGTGCTCACTCAGAAGGTGCTCGAATAGTCTTCGAATCTTCTACCGTGTAATCTTATGCTCTTCTTTTTCAATTATTTCCTTCCTCGTAAGTTTTTTGTTCTTGATTTCTTGAAGCGTCCACTGGAATTTCGATTTCCCTGTTTCCTGGTGGAAGATTTCGCTGTGAGTCCTCTTCTTAATCTACTCTCTCTTTGTTCCGATTAGCTCCATTTTCGGATTGTTTTTAGTACATTAATAAATTAAGCTGACGATGACTGCACAGAATCTTGTTTAAGTCAAGAAAAGGAAGATGCAAATTAGATAGACAACGGACGTTTTTTTACGAATTTTTCTCGGTATTTGTGAAATCAAGACCTAATTCAAAAATGTTTTAGTTCTGATTATGGAGATTTCGACTTCCATTTCCATTTGTTGTTCTCGATTTCTATTTCTTGTTCAATTTGTCTAAAATGGTGAGAGATTTTAGGCATATATAATGGTCATTTCGCTTTCTTCTTCAAGAGTCCTGAATCGGCAGCTATTAGTATGTGCTTCGATCAAGATATAGACATTCATAAAAATACATGATATTATGAACGTACAGATTTTTTACACTTCTTGATTATTATGTTATAGCCGTTTTCTCATCAATTATTCTGTTTTGTGAGTAGCATATTTGGATTTTAATCTCTGGAAATATTTCCATCTGTGTTGGATTCGAATCGTTAGAGTGGATTAGTCATCAAACTTTGATATAAGTTAGAGCTCAGAAATGAATCTTGAGACGGATGCTGAGTTACCCCAAGCTGAGGAATCAATTCCCGAAGTGACTATGGAACATAATTCTAATGAAGGACCGTCTGATTCGATGAAAGATGACCTTGAGGTTTCACCTAGTTGCTCTGATGTATGTTTTACTTCTATTATCAAACTGTTATTATTTGATATTATAAACTCATTGCTAGTTGAACTGGAATTGAAATCAAGTTTTTCATTTCAAAAATCACTCTCAACTATGTCTTTAATTATTCAAAATCAATTTAGACTAAACATTGGATTGTTTAAATTGTTTTGAATAAGTAAAGACATATTTGAGATTGTTTCAAATCACTGTAAAACGTGTTGTTAGTCTTTGTAGAATCATTAACAAAATCGACAATGCAGGATTCGAGCATCGGGGACATTTTTTACAATGATGAACCTGACTTCCTAGAAATGCAAAGGGTAAATAATATAATCAAAGCGGCTTACAAGGAATTCATGGCAATAGCCATCAGAGCAAACGCTTTGATTTTCCATCCTCCAGCAGTAGGTTCAGTAGAGGATTTACAAGAGATGTTCCACACTACACCACCTCGTGGATCTACAGTTGAATGTTCCGTCGAGTATGACGTTCTTTCCATTACTCCAGAATCGCTGATCACAATAATGATGAATGGGGTGAGATATCCTTAACTTGACATTGATTTTCTATACATTATTCTTAACATTTTGTACCCTTATTCACACTGTTTATAGGTGATATGGAGTTCGATATTTTCCAACATCATTTGTGATGGATCATTTGAAAATGTTCTCACTCCTTTGAAAGAATTCTGGTCAGCAGATTCAAATTCAAATTCTAAGGATGTTGTATTGGTAACTTTTTTTTTTTTGTTCCTTCTAAACTGTAGGACACAGAAAAAGAAAATATATGAACTTTTATCATATAATAGGTTAATGCCCAGTTAAGACTGCCAGCTGAATTCCTGCCAAAATGGTGCACTCGCTTTTTGAGATTTAAGATGGACGTCGCGGAAGATACATGGGCTATCTGCGATGTGTCAACTGATTATTTCATGGAAACAACCTCTGATCCCACCGTGGGAACTCAATACAGGCGGAGGCCTTCAGGAGTGGTAATCCGGCAGCTTGGTGTTCTCTCAGAGGTCTGGTTACAGAAAACCATCATCTATCAGTAATTACTTCACAAATTTACAAATCTAAAACAGAATTTTATTTTACAGGTTCTATGGATTGAAAACGCAGAGGTACAACAGATTGATATCCCTAACAACATGTGCTCAAAAGTTACTTCAAACTTTCATTTAACTGCAAAGCAATGGATCAGTATCTTATCACAAAATTTGAAACGTAGATGGAGCAAGATAACGACTTCAGAGATGTTCGACGACCCCAATGGTATAGTGTATGCTCTTAATTCCTTTTATGAATGTTAGGAACCATGACTCTCCACAGATATTGTCTACTTTGAGCACAAGCTCTCGTAACTTTGCTTTAGGCTTCCCCAAAATGCCTCATACCAATGGAGATGTATTCCTTACTTATAAACTCATGATCATTCTCTCAATTAATTAGCTATTGTGGGACTCCCTCCCAACAATCCTCCCCTCGAACAAAGTACACTATAGAGCCTCCCTTGAAGCCTATGGAGCCCTCGAACTGCCTCCCCTTAATCGAAGCTTGACTCATTCTTTGGAGTTCTCGAACAAAGTACACCATTTGTTCGACACTTGAGTCACTTTTGACTATACCTTCGAGGCTCACAACTTATTTGTTTGACATTTGAGGATTCTATTGACATGACTAAGTTAAGAGCATGACTCTAATACCATTATAGGAATCACGACTCTCCACAATGGTATGATATTGTCCACTTTGAGCATAAGCTCTCATGACTTTGTTTTGGGCTTCCCCAAAAGGTCTCATACCAATGGAGATGTATTCCTTACTTATAAACCCATGATCATGCTTTAAATTAGCCACGTAGGACTCCGTCCCAATAATCCTCAACTATGAACAGCCTTATAACATTAAATTCTCAAGCTAATTTGATTTTATGGGTTAACAGATGTACCTGATCTGTTGACAATTGGGGAGAACCTGAAGAGATTATATCTAACATCAGTTAATCCCTTTCCACTGGAAAGAAAATGGGATTTATATTGTGATGATAATATAAGGATTTTGAGAGACATGAAAGCAAATAGCATTGGTTATCACCATGATTATGTTGCCTCAAGTACCGTATACATTCCAGAAACCCCCATCAGACTCTTAATGTTTCTAGCCACATATAATGTGACATTCCAGGTAAACTCCGTCTTAGAAACTAAACTTATAATTTAACCTATAATTTAACCTATAATTTAACCTATAGTCTTGCTTGCTTATACTCCCACATACAGTTGATGAGCATAAAATCACCGGAACAGCTCAAGCTGGTAGCTGCACTTTACACAGAAGATAATAGCTACACCATTGGTTTACGTAGAAAAGTAGAAGAAACAGTAGCTGATGAACTTTTTGCGGTGCTTCTCTTTACATAAACTTCTTTACCTGATCCTCCTTGCCCAAAACTTATATACTTCAATGATATGATACGCTTGTTTAACGTGATAGGACCATGAATTTTTCTTACAAGAAGCTACAGCGAATGACTATTGCTCCCTCGTCCTATCATCACAATTGTCAGAAGAAGATGTTCATATCTCTCTCATGCCCAGATTTAGTATGAATAGTGTGTTTCTGAGACCTTCTGGCTTTGCCATCATGCCTGCGGAACGGGGAGGTCTACAGTCCAAGGCGTCCCTCGTGACCATATACATACGTCGGGAGCTCCAATATATCGAAGATGATCATGCAATTGCAGTTATGAGAAGCCACATGAGTGATGTAATTGATCAGATAACTAATATCCAATCTCCAAACGCTGCAGCTGAGGACTCAAAACAGAAAGCTCCTAAAAAAGTACTTAGGTTATGAGAAGCACAATTCTTTCCATTTTTTCTATCCTATATCACTATTATTAGCAATATAGGTTCTAAAATTCAGCACTGCAAGGTTGAAAGTCACTTTAAGCTTGCAGGCTGAATTTGAGCTCATGTAATGTGTAAATTTTACCCAACATTTTTAGCAATATAACCTCTGAAATTCAGCTCTGCAAGTTTGGTTGTATTCTAAAGGAAACGTAATCTAATTATTTATGTATCCGTTCCTCAACATATAAAATTCAGGTGAGATCCCACATTGGTGGGAGAGGAAAACAAATCATTCCTTATAAGTGTGTGGAAACTTCTCCATAATAGACGCGTTTTAAAACCGTAAGGTTGACGGTAATACGTAACAAGCCAAAGTGGATGATATTTGCTAGTGGTAGGCTTAACCTGTCACAAATGGTATCAGAACCAGACACCAGGTGGTGTGCCAGCAAGGAAGCTGGGCTCTCAAGGAGGTGGATTGTAAGATCCCACATTGGTTGGAGAGGGCAAGGAAACATTCCTTGTAAGTGTGTGGAAACCTCTCCCTAGTAGATGCGTTTTAAAACCGTGAGGCTGATGACGATATGTAACGGGTCAAAGCGGACGATATTTGCTAGAGATAAGTATCAAAACCAGACACTAGGCGGTGTGCCAGCGAGGATGTTGGTCCTCCAAGGGAGGTGGATTGTGAGATCTCACATTGGTTGAAAAGAAGAACGAAACATTTCTCATAAGCATGTGGAAACCTCTTCCTAACAAACGCGTTTTAAAACCGTGAGCTGATGGTGATACACTATGGGTCAAAGCAGACGATATCTACTAGCAGTAGGCTTGGACTGTTACAATTCAATTTTCCTCGGACAACAATCCTATTTAGCTGGGAAATAAGACATTAACCAAAATAGAAAAATATGAATCCTAAACTTAAATGTTTTGGTGGATTTACTTCTATCAAACTGAAACCTGCTTGGTTGTGTCTAAGATTGGCAGTGACTCCCTTTTGGAAGGAACTGAGAGTGCTTCATGATAACAACTGGCCGGCTTAGTTGGTCGAATATTCCCAGGATTTAGAGGAAACAACGTTTTGTAATAGCCATCCATTATTGCTGTAAAGTTGCAAGTTGCTGCAACCTTTGGAATCTGTTGACAGGTTAAAAGTACGCTGATTAGAGGATGATAGAAGTTAAGAACCGTATAAATAGATACAATGGCCCGACATTGCTAACCTCGACGAAAAAAAGTGTCAGTAGAAATGGGTTAAAAGCCTAGTGTGATATCCCACATCGGTTGGAAAGTGAAACGAAACATTTTTTATAAGGGTGTGAAAACAGATACGTTTTAAAACCATGAGATTGACGGTGATACGTAATGGGTTAAAACGGACAATATTAGCTCTGGTATTAGAGTCAGTCATCGGGTGGTGTGTCAATGAGGACGTCGCGCCTCCAAGAGGGGTAGATTGTGAGATCCCATAAGGGTGTGGAAACCTCTCCCTAGTAGACGTGTTTTAAAAACCGTGAGATTAACAGCGATACGTAATGGGCTAAAACGGACAGGCTATTACAAATGGTGTTAGAGCTAGTCATCAGGCAATGTGCTAGCAAGGACGCTAAGACCCCAAAAGGGGTAGATTGTGAGATCCTACATAAGTTGGAGAGGGGAATGAAGCATTCCTTATAAGGTAAGGGTGTGTAAATCTCCTCTATAATAGACGCGTTTTAAAAACCGTGAAGCTGACGACGATACGTAACGGGTCAAAGTAGACAATATTTGGCGATACGTAACGGGTTAAAACAGATAATATTTGCTAGCAGTGGGCTTGAGTTGTTACACCTAAACTGAACCACTACCTATAACCGTTTAATCTATACAACGCTAGAATAAATGCTCTTCCATTGAGCGAGTTTCAGTATTCAGTTGATTTACAAACCCGAACACATGAACCAAATCAACCCGAATAGCTTTCAATGGGTTAGTCTAGTGAAAAAACAGTTGCAGGGTTCAAAGAAGAGATTACCTGATAAATGTCTCGCATATATCCATGAAGATTTGCATACTCAAGCAGCTTCTTCTTTGTGCATTTAAACAGAACATTATACACCAGATCAAACCGAATCAAGGTTGTAAACAAGCAAACATCAGCCAGAGTCAAATTTTCACCACACAAGTACCTCGAACGCCCCAAATGTTCGTCTAACACGTCGAGCGTTGAAAATAGCTCATTGACAGCTTTGTCATATGCTTTTTGACTCTGAGCAAACCCACATCTGCTAATGGTGAACTAACCGTTATAGAACAAACATATACGTCCAGAACAAACATAATCTTAAGAAACAGAAAGTAAGGGATTGTTAGAATTGTGTTATTAAGGCCCCGTTTTGGTTCGGTCACATGTGGGGAGAGAGATTCGAAACTTTGATCTCTCTGTCTATGTCTAAATTGGTTGAGCTATGCTCAGGTTGGTGTTATATTAGCGTCTCATCGATAACCATTAAGCCTTTTGTTTTAGGTCTTTGAAAATTGTGCTTGGGGGAGAGATTCGAAACTTTGAACTCTCAGTCTATGTCTAAATTGGTTGAGCTATGCTCAGGTTGGTGTTATTAGCATTTCATCGATAACCATTAAGCCTTTTGTTTTAGGTCTTTGAAAATTGTGCTTGTGGGAGAGATTCGAAACTCTGAACTCTCGGTCTATATCTAAACTGGTTGAGCTATGCTCAGATTTGTGCTATTAGCGTCTCATTCGATAACCAACCTTCTGTTCTAGGTTTTTGAAAAATATGCTTGTGGGGAGAGATTTGAAATTCTGAGCTCTCGATCTATGTCTAAATTGGTTGAGATATGCTTTGGTGCTATTAGCCTCTCATTTGATACTCAGCCTTCTGTTTTAGGATTTTGAAAATTGTACTTGTGGGGGAGAGATTTGAAACTCTAAACTCTCGATCTATTTCTAAACTAGTTGAGGTTATTAGCGTCTCATCGATAACCATTAAGCTTTTTTGTTTTCGGTTTTAGAAAATTGTGCTTGTTTTCTCACAATGTCTTCTCGATAATTTCCATAGACACCTAAACGGTAACAACTCAAGCCTACTGCTAGTAGATATTGTCCTCTTCGGACCCCAAAGGAGATGGATTCTGAAATTCCACGTCGATTGGGAGAAGAACGAAACATTGTTTATAAGAGTGTGAAACCTAACCTAACAGACGCGTTTCGTCTTAAAAATCTTGAAGGAAAATTCGAAAAGGACAATATCTACTAGTGGTGGGCTTGGACTGTTACATGAACTCTAAAGAACTACGAGAAATTCGTGCGTTTAAGATTAGAGAGAGCATCTGAATGATTACCTATAAACTCCATTGTTGACATTGGGATAAACAATGGCGTTCCATTCTTCAATCTTCCCCTTCAGCAATGGCGGCGAGAGGTCCAAATCCGGATTCTCAGCCAATCCATTGAGACCCGAATTGAAAATTTCAATTATATCAGAGCTTTCATTGCAAATCACCTCCTTCTTCTCCGCATCCCATAGCATCGGCACAGTGGACCTTCCATTGTAACCTCCTCCTCTCAGTCTATAAACCTCCTTCAAAGTTTTGCACCCATTTGCCCTATCCAATCCCTGCCTTAGGTTTTCATTGTCAGCCGTCGGATTCTCCCGGAATTCCCACGATCCGTCTGCGCCGGGACCGGCGACGGAGACGGGAACGGCGTTTTCGAGGCCTTTTAACGCTCGGACGATCAACGTCCGGTGGGCCCATGGACATGGAAGGCCGACGTATAGATGGAGATTGTTGGCGGAAATTTTGGTGGCGCGAAATTGGGAGAGGGGTCTTGAGTAGCCGCCAGTACTATCGGAGGGGGCGAGCTGGCTCATCATGAGCTGCCACGTGGTCTCCCAGGCTGTACGGACGGTGGCTACGAGGAGCCCCGGCGGGAGAGATGGGCCCCATAAGAGATTAGTGATTGAGGATAACAGGGAAGAAGAAGAGGAAGATGCGGACGATTTTGGGCCGCTTGATGGGCTTTGGTTTAGGGACATTCTGGGGATGACGTGGCATCTGGTCGGCTTTGTTTTTGAAGTCGCCGGCGGGGGATAAAGCGGCGGAGGGAGAAAGTTTGTGGCGGAAAAGACGGCGGCGGTGCCCGTCGGCATTTGTTACAATTTGTGTGTTGAAAATATTCGCCGGCGAGAAATTTGGCTTCCTTTTGATCCATGTACCAGCATGCGCCTTAAACGACGTCGTCTCGCAGTGTCTACATGTTTTTTAACGGATAAAAATAAAATAAATTTTTCCTTCGTCAATTTCACTATAAATTTTTAATTTTATCCATCCTTAAACGACGTCGTCTCGCAGTGTCTACATGTTTTGGCTTGGCAACGCACGGGAAGGATAGTAAATAACTGCATCCAAACAGAGTGCCTAAAACCCTAACCCCAGAAAGTCTATGCCGTCGTCTTTCATATATTAGGAACTGCATTCGTTTTCTGGTAGGAGGAGAGAGAGAAAGAGAGACGGCAGCCGGAGAGTCCGTCAACGATGTCGAAGCGAGGTATGATCTGATTGTTCTGTTCATACGCTAATGTTTATGCAATATTTGATTCGATCTTCTTTTTGCTACTGGTTTTATATTCTTAGATTTGAGATTTGAGACTTATTATTGTTATGTATCGATTTAGGTAGGGGAGGTTCCGCTGGGAACAAATTTAGGATGTCGCTGGGTCTACCTGTGGCGGCTACAGTCAACTGTGCCGACAATACAGGAGCTAAGAACCTGTATATCATTTCAGTGAAGGGGATCAAGGGCCGCCTCAACCGGTTGCCATCAGCTTGTGTTGGTGACATGGTCATGGCGACGGTCAAGAAGGGAAAACCTGACCTCAGGAAGAAGGTGCTTCCTGCTGTTATTGTCAGGCAGCGCAAGCCATGGCGCCGAAAGGATGGTGTCTTCATGTACTTTGAAGGTCATACACAACTCAATTTATCTGTCTTGTTTCGTTTTCGGTCAATTTTTTTGTTCTAACTTTTTTCGTTTTCGATCAATCGTCATAATTGATCTTGATCGGCTGGATTGTTGTTTTTTATGTATTATATGAATATTTAACTATGGGTTGTGACCGTTTGATATTTCAAATTTATGAGGTTTTAATTCTTAATGCAACTTGTGTCGAGGATAAGCATAGTTTTTTTAAATAATTAAGAAAAAGAACAACCCAATAAACCAACTCAAAAGTAAAGTTGCGTTGTGAACTCTATTCAGATTGCTTTGGTCACCCTTAAATAGCATTTCAAAGAGATTATTGTAGACGACGACAATGAATATAGTTTCACAGAGTTTATTATCATTATTTTTTGTAGTTTTAACAGAGTTTATTGTCATTATTTTTAGTTCAACGACATGTAGGTAGGAAGGTCTCGAACTTCGAATAATAAATTTGGAAGGTTTGGAGACTTGGGTTTTGTGTGTGTTTTCACCCTATAGTGTGTTGTGGATGAAATATAGATTAACAATGCCTAGAACTATGTTAGTGATATTCCATGCTGTTTGTTAATGCTATTGAAGTGTTTGCCCAAATGGTTTGTGAAGGTTGTTATCTATTCTAATTCTATGGGAAAAATATGTGCTTAGGATAGTTTTGTTGCCATTTTATGTGAAGGGTTGTTTCGTGTAATGGAGTTAAACTTTTTCCTTGATTGTGAGACGGGATAGCTGTTTTGTACTGGAAATATATCCATATAGAATTGAACATTACCAGTTGTTGAATAAGAGTTTTCTTGTTTTGCAGATAATGCTGGTGTCATCGTGAACCCCAAAGGAGAGATGAAAGGTATGATATTTTCCATTTCCGAACTTTAAAGTATCAAGTCCATATGTGGTCTTAATAAAATGATAGTAAGTGTGAGATCTCACATCAGTTGGAGAGGGGAACGAAGCATTAGGGTGTGGAAATCTCTCCTTAGCAAACGTGTTTCAACATTTTGAGGGGAAGTTTAGAAGAGAAAGGCCAAAGAGGACAATATCTGCTAGTGGTTGGTTTCGGCTGTTACAAATATTATCAGAGCTAGTCATCGAACGGTGTGCTAGGCGAGGACACTGGTCCCTAATGGGGGTAGATTGTGAGATCCCACATCGGTTGGAGAGGGGAACGAAGTATTCTTTATAAGGGTGTGGAAACCTCTCCCTAGCAAAGACGATTTAAATCTTTGAGGGGAAGCCCAGAAGGGAAAGCCCAAAGAAGACAATATTTGCTAGCGGTGAGCTTGAGCTGTTACAAACAGTATCAAAGCCAGTCACCGAGTAGTGTGCTAGCAAGGATGTGGTCCCCTAGGAGGGTGGGTTGTAAGATCCCACATTGGTTGGAGAGGGGAACGAAGCATTTTTTATAAGGGTGTGGCAACCTCTCTCTAAGAGATGTATTTTAAAACTTGATGAAAACTCCAGGAGTATCTGTTAGCGATGGGTCACTAAAATTTTACGATGTGGTTGATGTTTTATATCATGTAAGTGTAGTTTTGGAGTAATGATATTGTAACATCTTTATTCTTGTCGCTATACTTATGGAGGTGTTCTGCTTTTATCGTTCATTTTGCTTTCATGTACTAGAACACAGATGTTTTCTTGGGTTGTGCAGGTTCTGCTATAACAGGCCCAATTGGAAAGGAATGTGCTGATCTCTGGCCCAGAATCGCCAGTGCAGCTAATGCTATTGTTTAAGTGACTTAATTTCGTTTTTATCCTGTTATAGACTAGGATTTTATGATTCAATTTCATTGTCTGGGATTAACTTATTTTATCTTGAAAAAAATATGATCGTTATGAGTTTTGGTTCATATCACATGTTTATCCCTATAGATGAAGTTAATTGCAAGGGAACCTTGTTATTTCTGGACTTCGCAGCTCGGTTTAGTGTTGTGGATATGGATACTCTCATAAAACTAACGAGGTACTCGAGTTTTTAACTGAAATTTTCATACTTGTCAACTCAAGTATAACTAGAGAGAGAGAAAATATGAGAAGAGTTTATGTTTGCATAGTTTGTTCGTTTTTCATACTATCTGTATTCATCGTTCTTTCATAAATGAAGAATCTTAGAATGGTGTAGGGCTCTTTGAATAACGTATTGATATGTCAAATGCTGAATGGAGGAGGTATGTACGACTTACGTACTATAAATTTGATGCACTAGAACTGCTTCTTGTGGGAATTCTACTCGTTTTGGGTTTAACTAACTTTGTACCTTACTTTTATCAAGTAGTATTATGATTCTATCTTTTTGAGTCTAGGTTTATTTGTGAGTCGTCCTTTGAGTTATCTCGTAAACAAAAGGAAAAATAGATGGACTTAATTCAAGCCAGCAAAGGATTAAGACAAAAGACAAGATAGGTAAGCACAAGAAGTTGTCGTTAGTGGGCAATAGAGCTTTTCTATCGATCGTCTTTTTCCATGCATAAGTTAGGGTTAGAAGTATAAGTACCACCTAAGGAAGAATTCTAAGTACCAATAGAGCTTTTCCAATTTTTCAGATTCTCTCTACCCATAATAAAAAAAAATAATAATAATAAAATGTTCCTTTAATAATGTTTTGATTTTAGTTTTTGGATTTTTTAAAAAATTATTTATCAAATTATGTAGAAATTCATGTTCGTGTTTGAAAAAGAAGAAAAAAGAGTGGTTTTCATTGACATTATTTATTTTTAAAAATCTGTACAATTATAAAATTGAAAGTAAGGAGGTTGGTTGGAGGGTTAGATTAGGACGAGATATTTTTTAGACTCAATTAGTTATTATTGACGGTCAAATTTGTTTGTTTTTTTTCTTTTTCTTTTTAATAAAAATAATATGTCAATTTGTAATACTTTTATTTATTTTTTTAAAACATTTAATTATAGTTTACTCTTTATTATATATTATTTTTTTAAGTTTATAATAAATCGGAGTTGATTCGATTCAATTCAATATAATTTTAAGTGAAATTATGAACTAACCTAGCTCGTAAAACTTTTATAAATTTGAACCTAAACCCACGTAAATGAATTCATAATTCAACGAAAAACTATATAGATTTGGTTCGGATTCAAAGTTTTGATTTTTTTTTTTTTTAACATCCATAGTTCAAATTTAATATTAAATTAATACTTTTAACATTTTTGCTAATTAAAAAAAAAAAAAAAAAAAAAAAAAAAAACTTTACCAAAAGCTACCTGCGGCAGTTTCCAGGAAAGTTAAATGAAATTCCTTGAGTGAAACAGAGGAAACTGAAAGCAGACGACTCTGACATTACCAACTTCGCCATATTTGGGACCAAAACACAAAACAAAACAAAACCAAACCATTTCTCGCTGTTCTTCTTCTTCTTCTTCATATTCTCTTCCTTTTTTCCCCATTAATTTCAGTGATCTAAGCTCTCAAACATGAAGGTTTTAGGGTTAAGTTCATGGAAACGGCAATTCATGAAGCTTGGGAACAGAATCGCAAATTCTGGCTCTGCAATTCCTTATATGAGTGACCCCAAAACCCCAAGTTCTTGCTGTTCTTCCTTCAAACACTCGATTTTCAAGCTCAAATCACAGTGGAAGAACAGTTTGAGATGGAAAAACAGGACAGTTCAGTACAGTTATGATCTTCACAGCTACTCTCTTAACTTTGATGATGGCTTGCTTCATTGATCATCATGAAGAACGAGAAGAACAAGAAGAAGATTCTACTCTGTCTCTTCATTGCTAATGGTTTTTTGATGGGTTCTTCCATGAAAGAACAGCTTGAAATGGGTCTGTTTTGGTTTTTTCTTTGAGGCCTTGTAATTTGGGAGCTGGAGCTCATTTTTTGTTCATGTAATTAACTCTCATAAGAGGGGTTTTTTTGCATATACTCTGCCTTCCCTGTTTAATCAATTTTGTTTCGGAATGTTTCGTTCCCCTCTTCCGTCGAGGAAGGATCTCACAATCCGATTTTTTATAATACTGTTTTAGTCATTTACACATCGTTATAAGTGCTTTAGCCCATTATGTATCGTCGTCAATCTTACTATGAAGAGGTTTTCAAACCCATTTATAAATAATGTTTCGTTCTCCTCTCCAATCGACGTCAGATTTCACAATCCATCCCCTTAAGGGTCCAAGGTTCTTGTTGGCACACCGTTCAGTGTCTGGCTCTGATATCACTTGTAATAGTCCAAACCTATCGCTAACTGATATTGTTTACTTGAGCCCGTTATGTATCCCTAACAACCTCACGATTTTAGAACCTGTATGTTAAAGGAGAAGTTTCCACACCCGTATAAAGAATATTTCCACACCCTTTGATATCTATTTGTGACCGACCAATCCAACTTATTCCGGACCGTTAGAGTTGTGTTATGACGTCAATCGAGTTGGATTTGTTTTAAATAAATGATTCTTTTATGGATTGAGGTAGTTGATTTTTTTTTTTTTTTTTTTTTTTTTTTTTTTGACTGAAATACAATTATACACCTATATTTATCTTATTTATTTTATTTCATAATTTATTATTGTTATTCATTTTTTGATGTCTTCTAAATAATATTTTAATTATTTAGAAAATAAATTTTTAATAAATTTTAATTAAATATTTAAAAATAATAATTACACAAATAAAAAAGAAAATGCCACTAGGACAAAGAGCAGAAAAATGACAACATGAACAAACCCAGACGCAGCCTATTATCTTTCTTTTACACAGCCAACCATAACTCTTCAATGTACAAACCATTTGCCATATGGTTCAATTTAAAAGTCACGCGCCAAGAATGGCGCGTGCGATAATTTAGCTCAGCACATTTCAGAAATGCAATAACAACAAAGCGGAACCATGACGGTCATCGCCTCACCGTTGCCTCCATCGGCCGTGCCGGTGACGTATTTAAATCACCCGCCGGTGACACAAGTGCTCGAATCATTAGTGCGTTTTTCGGATTCTATTCCGAGTCTTTTTGTTCGAAGGGTTCCTTTTGTTTTCCGTTTCGAGAGGCTTTGTTTTCGGCTTTTGGGTAAGAAATTACAAATTATCCATTTGATTAGATAGTTATACGATTTTCTTTTCCATTTGCGGCTGATTGTTACTCGTTTTGGAATTCATCCATTTAGCTGCTTCAATCAAAGGTTTGTGTTCTTGTATCGCATAAGCAGTTCGATTGTACGTTCTTCTTCTCTCTGTATTGCTTTGAATAATTAGTCTTCAGGTTTTGATGTTAGATTAGTTTCCTTTGAAATTCTCGTTGATTTGAAGTTATAGAAATTTTATTAGAAGTGCTTTGATGCAGCTTAGATATGACGTCTTCTGCTGGTAAAGATGATCACTTATAATTGCCTTTATAGTTGTCTGAGTTGTGTAGAACCTCACAAAATGGTATTTGATGAGTATTTTGGGAAGGGTTTTACGATCCCCTTCCACTAGACTGAGTTCTTCAAGTAAAAAGTTGTTTTTGTTTGTTTGAGTAATCAAATGGTTAGTTTAACAGCTCAATCTCACCGCTAGCAGATATCGTTCTTTTTGGGTTTTCACTTCTAGGTTTTTCCTCGAGGTTTTAAAACGCGTCTACTATGGAATGTTTCTTTCTCCTCTCCAACCGATGTGAGATCTCACAATCCACCCCCCTTGGAGGCCCAGTTTCCTCGCTGGCACACTGTTTGGTGTTTGGCTCTGATACCATGTGTAGCCCAAGCCCACTGCTAGCAAATATTATCCTATTTGGGTTTTCCCTTCTAGGCTTCCACTCAAAGTTTTCGAACGCATCTGCTGGGGAGAAGTTTCCACACCCTTATAAGGAATGCTTCGTTCTCTTCTCTAACCAATATGAGATCTCATAATCCACCCCCTTAGGGGCCCAGCTTTCTCGCTGGCACACTGCTCAGTGTCTGGCTCTAATTCCATTTGTAACAGCTCAAACCTACTGGTAACAAATATTGTTCTCTTTAGGTTTCCCCTTCGGACTTCCCCTTAAGGTTTTAAAACGCGTCTACTAGGGAGAGGTTTCCACATCCTTATAAGGAATACTTCGTTCCCCTCTCCAACAGATATGAGATCTCACAATCCATCTCCCTTGAGGGCCCAACTTTCTCGTTGGCACCGCTTAATGTCTAGCTCTAATACCATTTGTAACAGCCCAAAGCCTAACACTAGTAGATATTGTCCTTTTTAGGTTTTCTCTTCAAGGTTTTAAAACGCGTCTATTAGGGAGAGGTTTCCATGCACTTGTAAGAAATACTTTGTTCCACTCTCCAACCGATATGAGATCTCACAGTTAAGTTCTTGGAAATTAGCTCCAAATCCAATCATCTAAACTCGGGTGATTGACGAGTCTTGTCTCATCTTGCCAGTGCAAACCCTTTTTATTTAACATGCATATGCTTTGGTTCATTTGAAGATTTTTCTTCGTTTCTTGAAATGTAATTTTGTTTCTCTGAAATCATTTGTACTTGTCTATTCCTTCTATAGATGTCAAATTTTGAAGATATTGGACTTAGAGATGAGCTTTAACTACTTAAATAAACTAAGGGTCAGTTATGTGCTACAATTGTTGCTGAAAATAGATGAAATTAGTTCCCTCGTCCAATTTCAAGTGCAAGGCAGCATAGTAGGCCATTAAGAGTGTCCTGCCCAATTGTTTGGAGGAGGTATATCCTAAGCTGCCTGATTCTCAACAGGTTTCAATGGAACGAGAGCTGGTATCGAGACGTTTTGTTCATTCCAGTCATTTACACTCTAGCAGTGGAGTGGCTGGCCACATATTTTCGTCTTCTCCGGGGTTTTCAACAGATCTCCATTATTCATCAGTTTCGTTTTACGAAAACCAATCTGATGCGCCTTTCGTTCCTGAGCCATCAGCTAATGGTGTACTGTTGAATTCTCATTCAGAACTTCTTTCATCAACAAACCATCCTACTGGTGAAAATGGCAATTCTTGGTGTTCGGATGCATTGCCGGGTTTTCGAGAAGCTCCTGAAAGTAACTCGGTTGGCGGTAGTCGTGTAGAGAACAATAGCTGCAGCTCTCTTATGGTATCAGAGGATTTTAGTAAAGAAAATGATTGGCAGGAATGGACGGATAGGCTAATAACTGATGATCCTTTGAGTTCTAATTGGAGTGACCTTCTAGTGGATGCTGATGTTGTAGATTTGGAACCGAAGGTTGGAGTCCTTTTTTTGACCATTTAACTGGTTCAATACTTCTAAGAGGCCCTTATAAATGGTTTGGTTTGGTCATGTTTATTCCTCAGATGGTGCACCAAGCACCTAACCCAGCAATACAAATGCAAGTGCAGCAATCTCGAGTTCAAAATCGACTTCCTTCTTCAAATGGAGCTCCCTCGAAGCTGCGAATGCGATGGACACCTGAACTTCATGATGCATTTGTAGAGGCTGTAAACAAACTTGGTGGTAGTGAAAGTGTGTATTGTTCTAACCTTACCTACTTCACGTCTTGTCTTGATAATGATTATTAGGGGTGTATATTCAACCTGACAACTCAGACCAACCCAACCCAAACTATAAGGATTAGGTTGGGTTGGATTAGCATTTCGGGTTGGGTTGGGTTGGGTTGGGTTGAGGGATTTTTTTGACACAACCCAAAAGTTTGGGTTCAGAAAAATGAACCCAACCCAACCCTTATAGTTTGGGTTGGGTTGGGTTGGTCCGGGTTGTCGGGTTGAACGTACACCCCTAATTATATCTAATATCTAATGGGTTCACTATTTTCACCTCTCAGGAGCTACTCCCAAGGGTGTTCTTAAGCTTATGCAAGTGGAGGGTTTGACAATCTATCATGTGAAAAGCCACTTGCAGGTATATAGAACGGCTAGAAATATAGAATGAATATGCATATCGAGCGTCTTTTATATTCGATACTCGTGTAATTGGCTTTACTGCTTCTTGGTTGCAGAAATATAGAACGGCTAGATACCAACCAGAATCATCAAAAGGTATTGAAAATACTTGTGATAAGGTTTACCCCTGTAATTAAGTACAATAGTTAGATCATGATGGCTCATATTATTTGATTTTGTTTGATATTTTGGTGTGAAAATTGCATGTATTTTCATTTTCACTGCAGGACCAATGGAGAAAAGCACCACCTCACTTGACGATATTTCATCTCTCGATCTGAAAACGTAAGTTATTATGAGTGTGTGAGATCTCACATCGGTTGGAGAGAGGAACGAAGCATTCTGTACAAGGGTGTGAAAACCTCTCCCTAGTAAACACATTTTAAAAACCTTAAGGAGAAGCCCAACAGGGAAAGCCCAAAGAGGACAATATCTGCTAGCGGTGGGCTTGGCCTGGTACATATGGTATCAGAGCCAGACACTGGGCAGTGTGCCAGCAAGGACATTGGGCCCCCAAGAGAGGTGGATTATGAGATCTCACATCGGTTGGGGAGAGGAACGGAGCATTCCTTACAAAGGTGTGGAAACCTCTCCCTAGCATACGCGTTTTAAAAACCTTAAGGGAAGCTCAATAGGGAAAACCCAAAGAGGACAATATCTGCTAGCGGTGGGCTTGGACTGTTACAAATGGTATCAGAGTCAGACACTAGGTAGTGTGCCAACGAGGACGCTGGGCCCCCAAGGGGGGGTGGATTGTGAGATCTCACATCGGTTGGAGGGGGGAACGAATCATTCCTTACAAGAGTGTGGAAACCTCTCCCTAGCAGACGCGTTATAAAAACCTTGAGGGAAAGCCCAACAGGGAAAGCCCAAAGAGGACAATATCAAATAGCGGTGGGCTTGGGCTGTTACAAATGATATCAGAGCCAGACACTTTGAGATGTGCCAACGAGGACGCTAGGCCCCCAAGGGGGGGTGAATTGTGAGATCTCACATCGGTTGGAAGGGGTACGAAGCATTCCTTACAAGGGTGTGGAAACCTCTCCCTAGCAGACGGTTTTAAAAACCTTGAGGGGAAGCTCAACAGGGAAACCCGAAAGAGAACAATATCCGCTAGCAGTAGGCTTGGGCTGTTACGTAGTGCATATGGGTATTTCTAACTCGTAGGAGATTAAACCATTCTAGTTGAAATACAGCCCTGAATTCTGCTTTGGTGGGGGGCATTGAAATGATGCTTGAATATGCCTATTAAAATATTTCTACTTAACAGGAGTATTGATATCACAGAGGCTCTACGGCTGCAGATGGAAGTTCAAAAAAAGTTACATGAACAACTCGAGGTATGTATCTATTTCTCATTAGTTAAAATAAAAGCTCAAGCTCTTTTCATTTGATTCATAGTGATATATGAGGACCCTCGACTATTTCAAATATTTTCGGTGCTCGTTGGTTTCACACATTAACTGATGATTGCTCTTGGGTCACATGACCATTCCTTCTTAAACAAAAATTCGATTTTAGTAATATTATTTTTGTCTTCCCTTCGATGTTAGTATCCAAGTTGAGAATGGATGATATCTATTCCTCGGCTTGAAGTCGAATGTTGAAGGAATGACCTTGATTAAGGGAAAATACGTGACAACCCAATCCCACCGCTAGTAAATACTGTCCGCTTTGGCCCGTTACGTATCGTTGTCAGCCTCACGGTTTTAAAACTACCAAGGAGAGGTTTTCATACCCTTTTAAGGAATGTTTCGTTCCCCTCTCCAACCAATGTGGGATTTCACAATCCACCCCCCTACGGGGCGCCAGTGTCTCCGCTGGCACACTGCTCAGTGCCTAGCTCTAATATAATTTGTAACAGCCCAAGCCCACCGCTAGTAAATATTGTCTAGTTTGTCTCGTTACTTATCGCAATTAGCCTCACAGTTTTAAAGCGTGTCTACTAGGGAGAGGTTTCCATACCCGTATTAAGGAATGCTCGTTCCCCTCTACAACCGATGTGGGATCTCACAAAATAGTTGACCTCCTTAATTTTCTGCCTTGGTACCTGGTATCTAGAGATTTATAGATTTACTTATGTAGTATCTATGGATTTATTTAGCTTTTTGTGTATTATAAAAGGAATATGTACCTCTCTGAAAATTAAGAGAAAATTCGAAGGTCTTTAGACCCTCGAGTACACTATTCCTCCATATCCTTGAGATAATTCCATTCTGGTTCACTGTTCGACAGATCCAACGAAATTTACAATTAAGAATAGAAGAACAGGGAAAGTACCTTCAAATGATGTTTGAAGAACAATGCAAGTCAAGCAATAACCTGACAAAGCCATCGGATAATCCCACACGATGCACCGATCCATCCGAAGCTGACTCGATATCCGAAAAGACTACTAACCTAGTAGAGGGGAAGCTATTAGCTTCTCATAGGGAAGTCCCGGAGAATCTCGAGCCTGATGTTTTTGAATCTCGCTCCGAGCTATCGAAACGCCAAAGGACAGATGAGTAGGCTGTGTTTTCTGTAAGGAGTTTCTGTCACCATTTGTGTAATTCTACAAAATCTCTTCTTAGTTTCTTATTTTGTAGCTTTGATAATTCAACTAAATTTTGCTTTACATGAGACTATGGAAAGCTCTAGACTCCCACTATAGCTTGAATCAACTTGTGCAATGTTCCACCAATGCTTGCAGGTATAATTCAACGTGAGGACATGATATTTGTTTGTTTGTGTTATGGCCCTGTTTCCTATGGCTGACAATATGAGTGTTGGTATTAGCTCGGGAATGGGTCTGTAGGATAGATTCTGTGAGATCTCACATTGGTTGGAGAGGACAACAAAGTATTCCTTATAAGAGTGTGAAACTTTTCCCTATCAGACGCATTTTAAAACTGACGATACGTAACGAGTCAAAGCGGACAATATCTGCTAGCAGTGGGCTTGAGCCATTACAAATGTTATCAAAGTCGGACACCGGGCAGTGTGTCAGCGGGGATGTTGGGCCCCCAAGGGGTGGATTGTGAGATCTCACATCGGTTGGAGAGGGGAACGAAGCATTCCTTATAAGGGTATGGAATCTGTAACAACCCTAGCACACCGCTAGCAGATATTGTCCTCTTTGGACTTTCCCTTCGGACTTCCCAAGGTTTTTAAAATGCGGCTAGGAGAGGTTTTCACACCCTTATAAATAATATTTCCTTCTCTTCCTCAACCGATGTGGGATCTCATTACCAAATATGTTTTAAAACATCTCCCTACCAAACGTGTTAAAACTATGAAACTAACAGTGATACATAACGAGCCAAAACGGACAATATCTGTTAGGAGTGGGCTTGAGTTGTTATAGGACCGAAATGACTTTCTAATTGTATTTAAAACAACTTAAAAAATCATTTTAAACAACTTAAAAAATCATTTTAAACGGGTCCTTAGTGCCATCTATTTATTCCTTGAATTTTCAAATTTTTCACAAAGTCATGTTATATATCGAAACTTCAAATTAAACTTAAAATTTTTCACAATAGATATGGAATTCAAATTTATTTTACAAAACAAAAATTCTCTAAAACATTCATAATATTTCATCAATTATCCTCTAAAACAGCCCAAATGAGAAGCAAGCGAATGAATGAATTAACTCAATCGAACAAAAGAGCATTGCAGAAATCAATTCAATCAAATTCACAAAACAATGAAAGAAAATCAATGGACAGATCCAAACTCTCCACCAAATATCTCATACACTTGTCTATCATACAATGGTGTAGTGTAAGCTGGTAAGCTTGCATTCATCGTCATCTATGGCGCGCTATCACCTCTCGGAACCTCGATTATCGATATCCATGGCACTGTCACCCTTCACAAATCAGTTTCTTTCTTCCACGACATCAATTGGAATTTGGTTTCACTCTTATTTCACGCACGTTTCTATGTAGTTACTGCTGTATGTGCCAACCGTCACAATGATTGGCATATCGCCGGGGGCGCTTCTATATGGTGATCTCCTCGGAGAAGGTGAAGTTGAAAACTGATTGAGCTCCTCCATGGTTAAAGCTCCCAAAACTGGTCTATCTTCTTGGCTTTTAGGTGAGTTTGATCCTTGTGACTCTGGTGTTGGAAGACCTAAAATGCCTGTGCTAGTCTTGATTGGAGGTGTAACTTCTGATGAACTCAACCAGTTTGAAAGGCTAGCATCAACAGCTATGTCTTGAGCTGAGTTCTTAGGTATGCAAGTTCTCGATTCGTAACAAAAAGATGATTTCCCGAAATGTGGCTCCGTCCCCAAACAACTCCAAGGAGCTCCATTTAGTGTCAAATTCTCTTTGTTCGACCGATGTATATCCTTAACTTTAACTGCCTTCCATTGTGAGATATTTTCCACAGGCTTCAACACAGAAGGAACACCTGCATTCCTATCTCGAGCAATCGGTCTCGCCCCGGTTTGAGGTTCAGTCTTTCCAGGACACCCACATACTGACAAACAGCTATCGACCTCGTCGACAAACACTTGAGAAGCAGAACTTCCATCTTCATCATCAGAGTAATTCTCATACTCTTCATCCTCATCATCATCATCACCATCGTCATCAGTGTCAACATGATCATGATCGAGATCACTTTCAGCATAATCCAATTCATCATCATCATCACTATCTCGACAATTCTGATACCTATGATTCGATGGGTAAGACGAAATGCTCGAAACAGTGGATCCATTTTCAGAGATAGATTTGCATTGGGGTATTTCAGCTAGGTCCTCCTCCTTGTTCCTCTCCTTTTCAAGAAAAGCATCATCTTCAACATGATCAAGCTCATATGTTCTTATATTGGAATCAAATGTTACTCTTTTTCTAGTACTCAGATTTAGTCTCTCCTCAGACCTGTTCCTACAACTCAAAACACAAAGACTTGAGAACCCTACAAGACACTAGAAGGAAAAACTTGTTCTCAAAGAGGGGGCGGGGGAGGCTCACCGAGATTTAAGAATCGGACTAATGGACCCAACAGAAGCACTGTCTAAGGTAGATGGTGAGGCCTGAACGGGCTGGGAGATAGCATTAGCCTACAGTAAAGTTTCGATCAATTTCAATCTCAATTTCATAGGAGGGATTTAGCTTCTCAGAGCTCTATTAAGCAAGAAAACTTCGAGAAATCAAACAAGTTCATACAACGATCAGTCAATTTAAACAGCCAAAACCAACACAAAATCGAAGCTAAAACAGATTAAACGAGCATATTGAAAATCTAAAACATCCCAACAAAAGAGAATCATCCAGCCGTTTCAATGAAATCAAATAAAATAAAATAAAAAAATCCAGAGATGAACTTACGGCTTGATCTCGTGGCGAAACCTTACGCCGCCTCCGCATCCGGCGTTTCCCGTCATTGGATGAGCGGAAACAAGCGATGAAACAGCCCATTGTTAGGGAAAAAATTCGTTCTCTCTCACTAAGAACAATGCTCCGATGACTCTGAAAGCCGATTCTGCTAATGGATTTTCATGATTTTCACAAACGCTTTCACCTAAAGATGAAATCGGATGAAGATGAGAGAGAGTGTGAGTAGGTTTATGAGTGAATCCAAAGTGGGGCAGGATGAAACGGTCAAGAAAATTTTTTGCTTTTTAAAATGTAACTTCCGTGGGGAAACGAGCGATTGAAAGACAGCCTGTAAATTGTCAGAAAAAAAAAAAAAAAAAAAAGGAAAATTTCCTTGGAAGCTTTTCAGGCGAACGTTTGGCTATGTTTCGTTGATTTCCAGCCGTTGGATTCTTTGGAGCACTGGGTCCCCATCCGTTGGATGTCTTTAAACTTTAATATAATACTAACTAGCTTTATTTTGAATGGCTTGTAAAAAATAATTTCTCCCAAAAATATTTTTAAATTTTCTACCTTCTTTTAATAATTTATTTCTTCAAAAATACTTTTTAAACCATTTCAAAAAAAAAAATGTAAAAATATTTTCAAACTTTTTAAAAGTAAAAAATACAGGTGTTTTAAAAATTTGTGGATAATCTATTGGAGGTGAATGGACAGCTTTCATATATATATACATATATGGTAATTATTATTTTTTTTTTTTTTATATATAAAGGTAAAAGGGTATTGATGTAATTTCATGAGTAGGGAGAATATATTTTAACTTTTATAAAAAGTTTAAAATGATAAAAAGAATGGAGTGAGAGAGGTTCGAACTCTCGACCTCAGAATAATTCAGAAGCTATATGAAATTTAAGAATATGCCAATTTTTTAAAAATGAAAAGAATGGGATGGGAGAGGTTCGAACTCTCGAACTCTTAAGTTATGAAATCTACACGCTAACCAACTGTGCCACCACCACAGTTGCTTATAAGGGAATTGTTTTAATTATACTATAGAAAAAATATATAATATTAATGAACCGACATCGTTTTCGAGGAACCCTAGCTCCAATTTCCCTCGTACTCTCGCGCTCATTTCCTTCCCTCCATTCTTCTTTCTCTCTCTCTTTCCCCGACTTTCTCGATCTCCCGGAGCTGACGACTGTAACTCCCAACTCATTGGCGACCGAGAAGTGGCCCCTAATTCCGGTGCTCTTTCAGGCAACGGAGACATGGACTCCGACGAGGGGAAGCTTTTCATCGGAGGAATAGCTTGGGACACCTCCGAGGAGAAGCTCAGAGAATATTTCTCCGAATTTGGCGAAGTTAACCAAGCTGTTATTATGCGCGACAAGACCACTGGCCGTCCCCGTGGATTCGGCTTTGTCGTCTTCTCTGATCCTTCCGTTCTTGATCAGGTTCTTCAGGATAAACACACCATCGATGGCCGCCAGGTTTTGCCCTCCTCTTCTGGAATTTCTATTTGCATTACTTAGGTTTTATATTTCCACGACGGTTTTGCTTTTTGTTGCCATCATTATGGGGATTTCGGGAATCATGTTCTTGTAGTGGTCGTGGACTGTTGATTACTTTAATTGAGGACCTCATTATTAACAGTGGTTCTGTAGTGAGACTTGCTCTCTGTCACCCTTTTATTTCATTAGTTCATAATTGGTTTACTGTTCTTGAGTCTGAGTGGTCCTGAACAGTAAGAAACCGGTCAGAATAGTTTGTTTGGTCGTTTGGTTATTTCGTTCTCTATACATACTACCTTCGTATTTCAACTGCAAGGGAAGTCGGAATTGCGAAATGCGGATCATTCTATAATTTGTACCCTTATCAATTGTGTAGTATTCTCCGGTCATTTGTTATCAAAGGATTTCCTGCGATTATTTCTCCTATGGAATGAGTCAATCATTCACTTCGGTGTCGTATTGAACAAAAATAGTGATATTGTTCCTCCATTGATCAAGAATTTTGATTTGGGAAGTATCGTGATCATCCAATAAGAGGGGTTTCAATTTTTTCAAATGAACGATTTGAAGACCTATTGATTCTAACAACTAATTACAGAGTTGATCATTCGGACCTTTCAATTCATAAATGTGGATCTCGGACCTATGAATTGGGATATTCCCCAAACTCACAAAGAATAAAGGAAGTGAGTTAGACAAAAAGAGAAGAAACTTGGACAAAAAGAAACGAAGTGACTTAGACTAAGGGGGCTGCACCAGTCGTTTCGTGAATACTTATTCAGTCGACATGTTGGTTCTGTGGCTTATCATTCGTTTGATACTGGAACTCAAGAACAGTATCCTGTCCGGCTGATATTGAATTGTACCAGATATTAGCTTCTTGTTTTTTAAACCAAAGGATAATGTATCACTACTTTGTAAAGGAACCTTTATGCATGAGAAGTTGATTAGCACATTACTTCCTGGTAAAGAATATAAGCGGCATACTAGTCTCATTGTTTTCTCAGGTTAAAAGTAATAATGAATTCTGTTAGTCTGTTTGCATTGCACTGTGTGCTAGTCAATTTATGTTTGAGATACGAGGACAGTGAGGAAAGAAATACATATCAACCTACAGTAAACACATTATGAGATGATTATTTAAAAAGGCTGTTGAAAATGTTGCAAAATTTTATATTTCCTAGCTTGCTATAACTGGTAAGGAGGATGGTCCGTGCGTACATTGAGTTGATATACTTTATTTGCATTTTTGCTGAGTCTTTTCAGCAATTTCAAGTTGTGCTTTGTTGACACAGGTGGAGGCGAAAAGGGCGTTATCAAGAGAAGAACAACAAACTTCCTCAAGAAGTGGGATTTATAACTCTGGCAGAAGTTCTGGAGGTAGTGGATATTTTAGGACCAAGAAAATATTTGTTGGAGGTCTCCCTTCCGCACTAACAGAAGATGGGTTTCGGCAGTATTTTGAAAGTTATGGTCAAGTAACTGATGTAGTGATAATGTATGACCAAAATACTCAAAGACCTCGTGGATTTGGTTTCATAACATTTGACAATGAAGATGCAGTTGATAGAGTACTTTATAAGAGCTTTCACGAACTGAATGGTAAACTTGTAGAGGTGAAACGGGCACTTCCTAAAGATGCAAATCCAGGAAGTGGTGGTCGTGGAGGCTATCAAAATTATGGTGCCTCTGGCACCAATGCTAACAACTTCGATGGTAGATCAGATGGCAATAGATATATGCAACCTCAGTCTACTGCTGGTGGTTTCCCCCCATATGCTGGATATAGTGTATCTAGTTATGGTTATGGAGGTCCAAATAGCGGTGTTCCTTATGGAAGTTATGGTAGTTACGGTGTTGGTATGTATGGTGGTGCTAATACTGGATTTGGTGGTCCAGCTGGGCCATTTGGAAATCCTAGTGCTGTCAATGCCGGTTATCTAAGTGGAGCACCGGGAGCCATGAAAAGTTCTTGGCCCAACCAAGGTCCCCGATATGGTGGTCCTGGCTATGGTGCCAGTCCAGGCTTTGGGGCTGGAGCTCCCTGGAGTGCTTCAGGTACTAGTGGACCTCCTGCTCCAAGGGGCCAATCTCCTAGCGGGGCTTCTGGGTATGGGAATCAGGGTTATTATGGTGGAAATGATGGTACTTACGGTGGATATGGAACCTCTGGTGGACGAGCTGCAAGCGGTCCAAATAGCAATGTTGGTTCTGGTCAAAGTGGAGAGCCACATGGCATGACTGGTGGATACATGGGGAGTGGCTATGGGGAAACTAATGGAAATTCAGGTTATTCTAGTGGTGGCTGGAGATCTGATGCTTCACAGACTCCTGGTGGTTATGGTGGTGGATATGGTGGCACTCAGTCCAGACATGGTTAACCCCACTCACCAAATATTTGCACATCTCATCCTTTTCCACGCTCAAGACATTATGCTTGATAGTAACAAATCCTGAGAATGGTTGGGTCCTCTTCATTCTCAGTGCTATCAGGCAGTGTAATTCTGTAGTTGAATATGTCCATCGCTTTCTAGCATTAGTAATATTTATTTTTAGGCTTGTTATCTTGAGGTTGCTTTTGTTGTGAGCATTTGGAAAATTGAAAACATTGACGCACTTCTTTTATGTTTTTCTTTCCCTTAATCTCATGTAGAAGCTAGAATAGTATCTATTTACTTTTCTTTCTCTATGTTGATGATGGGTGGTTATGAGGATATTCTATACACTGTTATTGTATTGCAAGTTTATTGTTTTTCATGGTAATTTGGGTATTATGTAGTGCTATCTCTTGTATGCATTCAGTGCTTGCTAAATACTGGGTTTCTGCAGTCCTTGGTTGATGTGGCTTTCTTATTGCAGTCAAGATAGAGGTAGGAGATGCTATCAGCTTCTTCCTGTTTTGGGGATTCTTTATAACTTTGTTTGTCTCCACGTTTTTTGAAAGCCATGTAAACAACGTTTGAGTTTCGAACTGTTGGTAAGCACGAGTTATTAAATGGGATTTTGACATGCACAGGAATTTCAGGTGGAGTTCTGGAGCTGCTGAGTGCATTGTTTAACAGACCTTTTATGCAGCTAAAGGACTAAGGTTTGGATATTCTTCCACTGCTCATCTCTGTTGTGGTATGTCACCTTGACATTCTTATGGGCATAATTAGGTCTTTTTCTTCGATTCTCTAATTTAACTTTCATGCCATTTTCTTCAATTTTTGGAATAGCTCCATAATGTTAGATTATTTAGGTAGTTAGCTGAGTTGCCTGACTTTGTAGAACCGAACTTAGTAACTTAGATGTCATCTTGATCAAGATAACTGACTTCTTCTCTGCCCTGTCCATAGGATCGATCAAAATCACAGTCGTATGACATAGAGATTTAGAATATTGCGACATACTTATTATTATTCTAGCCTCACCTTTGTATTGTCATCCTAACCTTTTATTTTTGCTTCAACATTGAATGTACGATCCCAGATTTAGTACAAATATCAGTGGTATAGCAAGTGCTTGGCAAGCTAGGGCAGTCAAATAACCGGCCTCACTTTCTTCCATCCCCTAGCTTCCAGCATCTATTTGCTTGGATGCTTTTGTACCTTTTTTTATTTCATTTGTAATCTAATGTCATTTACTGTTTCACCCATTAATTGACTAGAGAATTAAACTTTGTCGTTTTGGTTATAACTATTCTCTTAGTTCCGTTTACTTCTTTATAGTTGATAGTTGAGACTATTGTCATGGAAAAAAGAGTCTTTTCTGTCAAAGAAGCTTAACAC